GGGCACTGTCGGGGGGTCAGCGCTGAGGGAGTGGGCACTGACGGAGGGTCAGTGCTGAGGGAGCGCCGCACTGTCGGAGGTGCTGCTGCTGACAGCTGTTGTTGGTCTTCTCTCTCACCTGTTTATTAGCTTCATCGAAAAAGACGTTATTGACGGTGGACACTTTCTCGAACTGCACGGGAGTATCACTCAGCTCCAGGTAATGATCGTCCATTGAGTCCTCCATCATCTTCACAACCGGCTCAGCCTCCCGCCGGCCATTTACAGCTGCCTCTACCCGCATTGCGCACGCGCGTCACCGCCGCCCCGGGGCCACTGCGCACGCGCAATTCCCGCGCCGAAAGACCGCGCCTGCGTGTTGCCGTCTCTTAGTCCCAGCCCTCCCCTCCCCAAGTCTGAGTAGAGAGAGCAATGTTCTTGTGTTTCTCTTTAGCGCAGCTCGGTAAGATATCATGTAGAAAAATACAGGGTTGTTCACTTCATTAATGGAAACAGATCTGCAGGGTATTTCTTAAATGGTGATAGGAACAGTTTGATTGATTTATTGTCATATGTACCGGAGTACAGTTGAAAGTTTTGTTTACCAGCAGTACAGGCAGATCATAATAAGAAAGGATGTACACATCATAGGTTGTAAACAAACTTAGACAGGGACATACAGGTTACATTGCACAACGTTAGCGACATCAGCATTGTTTGAAGTTAGACCATTCATTAGTCTAATGATGGCTGGGCAGAAGCTGTTCTTGAACCTGGTGGTGCACGTCTGTATCTTCTGCCTGACGGAAGAAGTTGCAAGAGATCATTACCGGGATGGGATGGGTCTTTGACGATTTTGGCAGCCTTTCAGCGGCAGCGAGCCGTGTAAACGGAGTACATGGATGGACGTGATGGTCTGGCCTGTGCAAAGAACCTTCTGTAGTTTCTTACAGTCCTTTCTTACAGAGCAGTTGTGATGCCAGGCCATTGTGTGCCTGGACAGTATCCTTTCAATCTTGCATCTCTAGAAGTTGGTGAAGGTCCTTATGGACATGCCAAATTTCCTGAGCCACCTGAGGAAGAAGAGGCATTGTTATGCCTTCTTGACCATCACATCTAGGTGGGAAGTCCAGGACATGTCAGTTATCGTCACTCTGAGGAACTTGACAGTCTCCGCCCCTCAACCTCAATTCCATTGAAGTAGATGGGAGCATGTTCTCCTTTCTTTCTGAAGTCAACAATCAATTCTTTAGTTTTGCCAACGTTGGGAGAGGTTGTTCTCATTACACCATGTCACCAAGCCCTGTCTCCCTTCTATATTTTGACTTGTCATTATTATATATCTGTCCTATGACAGTGTTGTCGTCAGCAAACTTGTAGATGGCGTTCATTAAGAATTTGGCAACACAGTCACGGGTGTACAGTGAGTACAGTAGGGAGCTGAGGCTGCATCCTTGGAAGAGGCTGCAGTGTTGAGTGTTATTGTGGAGGAGGTGCAGTCACCTATCCTCACTGATTGCGGCCTATGGGTCAGAAAGCTGGTGATCCAGTTCAGTAGGCCATTCAGCCCCTTGAGCCTGTTCTACCATTCAATGAGATTATGCCTGATCTGTGGCTTAACTCCATATACCTGCCTTTGGTGCATATCCCTTAATATATTTTCTTAATAAAAAAAAATCTCAGATCTAAAGCTAACATCTGAACCAGCATCTATTTCCATTTGTGGAAGAGAGTTCCAAACATCTACCACCCTTTGTGTGTAGTAGTGCTTCCTAACATCTCTCTTAAAAGGTCTGGCCCTAATTCTAGAATCCTCAACAAGTGGAAATAGCTATCTACCTTATCTTTGCCTGGTAATATATTTCATCATGTTGCCCCATTACCTTCTAAATTCTAAGGAAAGCAGGCATAATTTGTACATCTCATGATTTAACCCCTGAAGAGGTTAGGATTACCCATGGCCGTACCTTTGATTTGGGGAAATGAGGTAAGTTAAAGGAGACGTTGTTCAATGAGAACAAAGTCAACCATGTGAAACAGGATAGTGGTAGATGGGGAATGTGCGGACTTCTTTTTAAGGAGGGAGTGGAGAGATTCAGACTATCCTGATGGAGGATTGATGCGTATAGACAGATTGTACATCCATAGTGAAGGTGGCTAGAACCAGAAAACCGGAAATTATGGAACAGAAAGAATCCTGATTTCCTGTGTTCTTCAGAATTTTGAAGAATGACTGGTGATCTCATTGAAATTTACAAAATACTTAAAAGGAATAGACAGGGTAAATACAGTTGTGGTGTTTCCAATAATAGAGTTTAGAACTGGTGTCACACTTAGGTATGAGAGGATTTTTTTTTTTTTTTTTTTTTTTTTAAAAACTTGTGGCAATTGTTTAGAATTCTCCATCAAAGGGCTGTGGAAGCTTAGTCTTGAACATATTTAGAGATTTGCAGGTTTGTATATGCAATAATATAAAAGTGCATGGGTAGTGTTGAAGAAATCATTGAAGTGGATGATCAGCAATTAAATGATAGGCTTGATGGGCTGAATGGCCTACTCCTACATCATTATCACAGAGCTTTCTTTTGTCCTATCACCAATCATAATCTGTTGCACAGTGGTTCAGGTCTTGATGCAGGGTCATCCATCTGGAAGTTAGTTTTGGTCTCAACAGACACTACCAACAGACACTACCAGACCTGGTCATATTTCAGTTAAAATTTCTAGTGGCTGCAGCATTTTGCGTTTTTTGTAAATTTATAAATTGTCCTAGTATTAAGGGTAAAAGGACACAGATGACCATTACTCTCAGGAGTGCAATCAGAACCCAACTGCACAGGGGGAAGCAGACAAAAAAGAAGACATACAGTGGTAGGAGACTCAGATGGGTGTTTCTGAAGCTTCACATGTGACTCCAGGATGATGTGTTGCCACCCTGGGGCCAGGATGTCAGTGAATAACTGCAGGGCAGTCTGAAAGGGTAAAGTAAACATTCCTGGCTCACGTTAGTACTAATGACATAGGCAGAAAAATGGAAGAGGTCACGGACACAGAAAATCGGTGCAGGAGTAGGCCTGTCTGCCCTTCAAGCCTCACCACCATTCACTATGCTTGCTCAGCCATGATCAATCTCAGTATTGCATTCCCACCCTCTCCCCAATAACCCTTGATCCCTTCAGCTGCAGGGGCCATGTCCAGCTCCCTCTTCAATATATCTAATGAACTGGCCCCAACAGCTTTCTGTAGGAGAGAATTCCACAAGTTCACAACTCTCTGAAGAAATTCTTCCTCATCTAAGTCCTGAATGGCTTACCCCTTAGTCTTAGACTGTGACCCCTAGTTCTGGACTTCCCCAACACCATGAACATTCTTCCCACATTTAGTCTGTCCAGTCCCATCAGGATTTTATATGTTTCTTAGAAGAATGAGGGGGTGATCTCAAAGTTCCAGCAAGTACAAGCCCAGTCAATCCATATGTCAATCCTGCCATCCCGGGAATCAGTCTGGTGAACCTTCACTGGACTCCCTCAATAGCAAGAATGTCCTTCCTCAGACTAGGAGACCAAAACTGTACACAATTCCCAAGGTGCAGCCTCACCAAGGCCCTGTATAAGTGCAGCAAAACATCCTTACTCCAGTACTCAAATCCTCTCGCTATGAAGGCCAGCATACCATTAGCTTTCCTCACTGCCTGCTGGACCTGCATGCCAACATTCAGCGACCGTTCCACCATGACACCCAGGTCTCATTGCACCTCACCTTTTCCTAAATTGCCACGATTCAGATAATAATTTGCCTTCCAGTTTTTGTGACCAAAGTGGATAACCTCACAGTTATCCACATTATATTGTATTTGCCAAGTATTTCCCCACTCAGCCAGGCTGTCCAAGTCACCCTGCAGTCTCTTAGCATCCTCCTCACAGCAAACACTGTTCCCCAGCTTAGTGTCATCTGCAAGTGTCCTGTAGCAAGAATTCGGAGTTTGGTTGCAGATTGAAAAGTGGGTCCTCCAAGGTCCAAGGCAGGAAAGTGGATTTGAACATAATCTCATTGAATAGGAAAGCAAATAAAGGCTGAATGGCCTACTTCTGTTCCTAAGTCATATGGTCTTATTGTATTACAATTAATGGCACTCTGGTATGTAGTTTTGTTTTTAGAAAAAGTGAATTAAAAGCCATGTCAGCTCTGCTTCAGATGACCTTCTACTGCCCTGAGTTTATAGAAGTCTGTGAATCTGGTTGAAACAAGTTGTACCTGGAGTTCAGGTGTTACATTGCCAGTTGCCCTTTCACAACCCAAAGTGGTCAGTTTAAAAAACAGAATAGAGCAGCAAACATGTGCATTACATTCACTCCATTTTGATGTGAAATTTAAAACATGCAACATTTTGTGGTTGCACTAAATGTGAAGTTACAGATTTCACTCAAAACAAAAGTTTAAAGTTGGTGTGTTATTTATTTGGTTAGAAACTTTGCTAACACAAGAGAAACAGTCACAGCTCCCAACTCAATACAAAGTGTAAGGAGAAGGAACTGCAGCAGCATCTTCAACATCACCACACCAGTCTAATTTCTGTCACAAATACCAATGATACAAATCTATTGATACTCTAATTTGAAATCAAATTAAATTGCACAAATTTCCGTTGGTGTCAAATTCCAGCTTGCAAAGATCAGTCTGCAAAAACCATTTAAAAGCCACTCCTCCTTTAATCTTCTTTTGGAATTTCACATTCATAAGTCATCTTCACACGCTTCCCCATCTGTTGGACATGGTCTTCATTGATTTTTTCCAAAGTTTCAATCTAAACATTTTTGTTTAAGAAAGGCAAATACATTTTTAGCACAGGGACATATTAAACTCAATGTTTCTGCTAATCTGATTTTAAACTGTACACTTCAAACAATTGCACAATATTAGTCTTCACTACTAAATATTTCAGAAATTGAAGCTGTCTCTAAAGCCAACATCTCAAACTCCAGTAAAGCAGCTAGAACATATTTACTCATATGTAAATATTAAAAATAATTTCTTAACTAATGAAAAGATTTTACACCACTGGAGAAAAATGCTTAAGTAGCTTTATTATATTTCCCACTTTCAGAAATACACTATTGGGGAATAGCGCAAGTTATTGGCTTATACAGTGAGTGGTTTACAAAGTTAGCCCTCAAAAAAAATTTGCATGTGTATATAAAAGCAAAGTACTGTGGATGCTAGTGAAACTCAGGAGGTTTGGAAACTTCTGTGAAAAGAGATACAGAGTTAAGGTTTCACAATTAATATGACTTTCTCTGAACTGAAGGGGGCTGGAAAAGTGATAGTTTTTATATTGTTAACGAAGGGAGAAGAGGAGTGAGTGTAACAGATGTTTGCCTTTGCCCAGTCCATAAGAATGATCCCCAACCTTCCAGTCGTTTGCCATTTCAATAATTCTTGTTCTCATGCCAACATTCCTGTCCTAGGCCGGCTACAGTGTTTCAGCGAAGCCCAGCACGAGCTGAAGGAGCATTCATTTTCTGCATAAGCACTTTAGAACTTTCAGGACTCAACACGGTGTTCAACAACTTCAGACCATGAACACTATACTTCAATTTGATTACACCCCGCTTCTCTCCCCAGTGTCTGGTTTGTACTCAGCACAGCTGACCTATTTTTTTGCTACTAACAGTCTTCATTTAAATCTCTCCTCTCCTCTGTAATCATTAATACTCTCTTTGCTTTTTGCTCTCAGCACCCTCACATCAGGTCCACTTGCCCCTGGCCCCTCTTTTTCAACAGAGGGAAAATACCATTTTCCAGATTCCTTTACAATCTAAAAGAAGTTATACCAGACTTGAAACATTAACCTGATTTTTCTATCTCTCTACAGATGTTGTCAGACTTGTCGAGTTCATCCAGCACTTGCAATTTTTATTGCGTGTTCACCACTCCTTTAACATAGTAACACATCTTAAAACACTTAAAAGCCATGCTTCATTCCATGAACAGATTTTACCTCAACAAGGAAGTCCACTTCATTATCTGCTGTAATATCTAAACCAGAGACAGCATTGAAAAGCTCCCTTTCACCCATTGCATCCGTAACTCCTGACTTCTGGAAGAACTGAAAGAAGGGAAGCAGTATAACAATGACTGTATACATACATGATATTAGAAAACCGTAAATTAAGCACATATCAATTCTAAAAGAATTAATTTCAAATATGAAACATGCATTTTGATGTTCTAATATAGTAAACAGCAGCGAATTTGCACACAGCAAGCTCCCATACACAGCGCTGTGTTAATGAGCAGACAATTTGTTTTAGTGATGTTTTACTTTAAGGATAAATATTGGATATCAAGATCCACTGCACTTTGAGATAGAGCCATGAGCATGCAAACAAGAGCTTTACGGAACTTCTGTTTTATTGTTTTTGTTTTAAAGAAACTGAATTCAAAGTAAGGATATTTTAAACTTTCACAGAATTTTGGTTATACCACACTTGAGTACTGTGAATTGTTTGGTTTCCATGTAACCAAAAAGATGCAAAGACACTGCAAACAGAGAAAAGACTTTAGGATAATTTTAGAACAGGAACAAATTACAGGGAAGGGCAGAGAATTTCAGTAGAAAAGGAAAGGCTAAGGAGCGTCCTGATGAAGGTCTTTAAAATTAGGAAAAGGTTAGGTAGGGCAGACGTAGAAAAGATATCTTTAAATCAGACAATTCAGCAGAAATGTTTATCCGAGAATGGTTAAAATGTGGAACTCAACTACCAGGAGTGATTAAGGTAAACAGTACTAATATGTAATCAGAGGAAAGTTAAATACCATAAATTACAGTGGAGACATCAACTCTGTCAGCCCAAAAATCATGTTTTGTACATACCTGCTGTAAAAGTCAACATCAGCACACCCTCTGGCTACTGTCTTTTACTGCGTCAGCCTATGCTTGTATTAGCTGTCAGCCTCAATTTTTCAAACACGAATGTTTTATTTCCTGGTATCTTTTAACAGACGTAGGGATAAAGCAGGCAATATGGGCTGTGTTGCAAATGGACATGGAAATTCAAGACTTGCCATTCTGCTTTGGGATGCCTGTGACATTGCAAAATAGCAACCTACACTTCTATTCTCAGTTTATAAGGCAGCACAGTGGCTCAGTGGTTAGCACTGCTGCCTTACAGCGCCAGGGACCCGGGTTTGACTCCACCCTTGGGCGACTGACTGTCTGTGTGGAGCTTGCATGTTCTCCCCGTGTCTGCGTGCTCGACTTTCCTCCCACAGTCCAAAGATGTGCGAGGTAGGTGGATTGGCCATGCTAAATTGCCGATAGTGCCCAGGGATGTTTAGGATAGGTGGGTTAGACATGGGAACTTAGGGGCATGGGTCTGGGTGGGATGCTCTTCCGACAGGTGGTGTGGACTTGTTGGGCCGAATGGCCTGTTTCCACACAGTAGGGATTCTATGAATTTCTATGAATTCTATTACTGTTTTTGGAGGGATTTTGAGCAACTTACATGCTGACACCTATAGTATTTACATGAGGGAGAAAAGAATGGAGGTGGTGAGATAGGAAAAGATGAAATTAGATATACGGTTCAGAACATCAGCACTGGCCTAGAATTGTTGAGCCAAATAGCCTGTATCTAGGCTGTAGATTAACATTATATGTAAAAATACACAAATTAATTACAGCTAAGCCAATTGCATAATGTGGTTCTGTAACAGAGAAAGTAATGAAACTGATACCTGAGAAACATTTTTGCAATCCCTGAAAAGAAACCTCAGCCCATGAGGGTGAGTAGGTTCCACGGATTGACTGACATCAATCAACCAAACCTGTAAAGAAACAATAAAACAAGGAAGGCTGTAATCATGTCAACTATGTGGAAACACCAGATCTCCTCTCTATTCCATCAGAATTCCAGTTGCTGTGGTGGGAAGGGTCTTCAACATTGATTTCATAATTCATGCTATCATCCTCAGTGTACGGCCTTACAGTGAGCATAGTGATAATGATATTGAACAGGTAATACAGAACCACAGGCTAGTGCTCGAGGGACATGGGTTCAAATCCCTCTGACAGATAAATTTGAATAAATTCCAGATTTTAAAAAAATAGCTTAATTGTGGCCACGTAAAAAGGTAAAGTCACTATATCCTACCAGACCATAAGGCCGCTCTCCCTTCAGACAGTGGTGGTTTAAACTGAGCATCACTACTGCAAAGTAGAGTCCTTCCTGGTAACCTCAGCCGTTATGGGAATTGAACCCATGCTATCAGCAATGCAAACTAGCCAACCACCCAACTGAGCTAACTGCTGTCACTAAAGCCCACCTGGTTCACTGACGTCCTTTAGTGAAGGAAATCTGCCATCCTTACCCAGTCTGGCCTAGGTGCGACTCCAGAACCACCAGCAATGTGGTTGGCTTTTCACTGTCCTCTGGGCAACTAGCGATCAATAATATATGCTGGTCCTGCCAGCAATACCTACATCTGAAGAACGAATAAAAGAGAGAGAATATCTGCTGACACCCTCTGAAGTACACTCAGTACCCGTGAAAAATATGCCAATACTGCCAGTGACGTTAGTCCATCCCACTTGCTCATATTTATGGTGCTTATTTGGGCGCCATCATGTTTTATACTGTCAGGGCAGCTCATAAAGTCTGTCCTCAGAGAACACTCTGCGTGAGCAACATGTACTTTTCGGGGGTGAGGAAACACAGCCAAAACAATATCTAGTAAGCTACTAGAGGCCCAGACTAATGCTCTAATGACATGGGTTCAAATCCTGTCATGGAGTCTGGTAGAATTAAAATTCAATTAATTGAAAGAAATCAGGAATTGAAACCCAGTCTCAGTAGTAACGAGAATGAATCTGGGTCATTTAAAATTTCAAAACTGTGATCATAATCTTTCTTGGAAATCATGGTTTAGAATCAGGTGGGTAAATGAAGCCGAAATACAGATCAGCCATGATCTGACTGAATGACAGAACAGGCTCAAGAGGCTGAATGGCCTCATCTTCCACATTCCTAATAGGATATAAACGATAAGTTTGTTTTACCAGGAAATTATTTAAAAATTATGCTAATTTTGCGTTCAAATTTTAAAACCTACCTGCAGCCTTCTAACAGACTGCCTATGACCTCTACCATGTAAAAAGATGAAGACAGCAGATACATGGGAACCCCCTGCAAAGTCCCTTCCAAGCCACTCACCACCCTGACTTGGAAATATATTACCGTTCCTTCAGTGTCACTGGGACAAAATCCTGGAATTCCATTCCCAAAGGCATTGTGGGTCAATCCACAGGTAGGCTGCAGCAGTTCAAGGCGGCAGCTCACTACCACCTTCTCAAGGGGCAACTAGGGATGGGTAATAAAGGCTGAACCACCAATGCAATGAAGTTAGGACTTTGCACTCCATTCCATTAACTTCTCTGGTTAATGTCTGGTTATCTAGTCGTCTGTTTCTTTTCCATCCAGTCTGTAACATCCCCACCAAACTTTCTTGCCTCCTGCACATGTAAATATAGTCTCACCTTTCCCATGTGCCACAACATGTTGTAAGCACTCAGATCAGCATGAACAAGCTTACATTCTGTGTACAGCTGCTGCATCATCTGCAAGAGAAGACAGACCATAACAAATCACACAAAGAAAGCTTTTGCCAAAGAAAATAAGCAAGAAGAGAAAGTGAGTTGATATGATGCAGGCTCTGGAGATAATGAAAGGCAGAGTTGACGTGGTGCAAGGATGCTGTCACTTTAAAAAGGCTATTTTGTCCTGGGTTTTTTTTGAAAAGTGGTTGTAAAAGCAGAGGTGCCGAAGTAACTAGAGAGCCAGCCTGCATAGTGTTTTTTTTTTTTTAAACGGTTTAACAATGGAAGAGGAGTGGCCGGTTCTCCCATTCAGGTTCTAGTTTTTTTTAAGCTGTAGCAGTCACAAGATGTGAGTACCAGAAGTGTGCAAGCTTCAGTTAAGGATACTTAACCGACTTTCTCTAAAATCTCTCTTGTGGTTGCCGCATTACAGGAAGGATGCGGAGGCTTTGGAGAGGGTGCAGAAGAGGTTTACCGGGATGCTGCCTGGATTAGAGGATATGAGCTGCAAGGAAAGGCTAGAAAATCTTGGAACAAAAACAGAAGTTGCTGGAAAAGCTCAGCAGGTCTGGCAGCATCTGTGAAGAGAACATCAGTTAATGTTTCAGGTCCGGTGACCCTTCCTCAGTTGTTTACTCTTGAGCGATGCAGGCTGAAGAGAGACTTGATAAAAGTCGATTAAATGAGATGTATACAGAGGGTTGACAGTCAGAATCATTTTCCCAGAGTTGAAATATCTAATACTAAGGGGCAAGCATTTAGGGTTGGAGGGGAAAAGCTCCAAGGAGACAGGAGGGGCAAGTTTTTTTTAAAAACAGAGCGGTAGGAGTCTGGAATGCCAGGGGTGGTGGTGGGAGGCAGATACAATAGGGACATTTAAGGGAGTTTTAGATAAGCACATGAATATGCAAGGAATGGAGGGATATGGACCAATGGCAGGCAAATGAAGGGATTAGTTTCATTTGGCATCATGTTCGGCACAACATCGTGGGCCGACAGCCAG